GGTAGGGTTGTAGAGCGGATGGTTGGCAACGGTGACGGTGCGGTGGTGGCGAATATGACGGTGACGGCGGTGGAGGATAGCAGGGCAGTGATGAACGCCGGTTCTAGTGTTAGCGACCGAGGTGGAGGCAATCAGGAAGGAGGGCGGGAGAAGAGAAGGATGAAGGAAAAGAGGTGGGGGCTAGGACGGAGATGGCGGCCTGTGCGGAGGTGCAGGAGTGGGTGTGACGGCGCCTGCCTGCCCGGAGACCAGCGCTGACGGAGGAGCCACAGGTCCCCGCGACGGTTCACGCGAAGGAGATGCTGCCTCTAAATGCGAGACGCTTCGGGCGCTTAGAAGAGGTATCTTATAATGATAGTTTGGTTGTATTCCGGTGACTTGTTAAAGGAAGACCCATCGTTTATGAGTTCAGACACGAAGTAAGTATCTAAAATCTGGAGATCGTATTAAAATGAGCTGTTTACGTGAACGTTGGTTTTACACTGCTTTTTTGCCGACGAAAGTGTTTTCTGACCTTTTACGAGAATCGGCATCCGCTGCTTCTTGTGTGTTGCAGCTTCTCTCTGATGCAATTTTGCCGTGTTTCGTGTTTTCTATTGCCCTACCTGAGCATTTAAGTTAGACGTTATTAAATTCAAATAGATGAAAACCAGAACGGCATATGTAACATTTTATAAATTCTGAGAAAAACGTGTTTATTTTGAACTCTAATTCAGTGGCAATGAATTTTCGTAGATTTAATGAACAATGGAAATGCCTTAATGTTTAGTTGTTTTAATGATGAAACAAAGCTCAATGACTTTACAGTAATATTGACTTAAATACACATTTTCCAGAACTTACCAAAATTGTCACTTATACCATTCTGATTTTCACCCATTTACGTAATTGCGTATTATTTCTTCAAGTAGGTTTCTTGAAATTGGGTGTCAGAGCACTGTAATTACTCACAATTAAAATATTTATGCATTATTTATGTATAACTCAATATTGTTTTGATTATAATATTAATAACAATATCAATAATTTAATACGTTTATAGCTTATTTACTTCATAATTTTTATTTTAAAACAAAACACGTGATTTTCTATCTTCTCAATAATAATAATATATGATGGATAACCGAGAAGATAACTACACAGTAAGCAAGATACTTCTAATAAATAATTGATACTTATTATTGCTAAATAGGTTTTTAGTATATGTATGTGAGACAGTAAAAATTTCCGAGACTTTTCCGGTCTAATGGTTACTTGTGGTTAGTGCATCAGTGGTCAGTGGTCATTGAAAGGAAGGAATGACGATTACACTGAAGTCACCGTCGATTTTTCACTCCCTTCTTATCTCTACTCTTGTTAACATTACGTTTACCATGTACATTTAGCCTTATATTGCTTTCAATGGCAAAGTGAGGGAGATCGTTTCATTATACTATAATTTATAATTCCCTTGGTGCAAATGCAATGCTATCATATATACTTCCACTACCTGGCTAAATGTTTCTGAGCGGACGACGACCCCCTCCCTCCCGAATGCTGTGGAGCAGAATTTGTCCTGGAGCTTCTTAGCATTCAGAGATCGTCGGAGAGACGCAAGGTCTTGAGTAGCAGAGAAAATAGAGGAGATGGGGAGCGGTTCGCCGATGACGTGAGACTCGACAGAATGCGCAGGTCCCATCGCCCGCGCCGCCGATTCTCCAAACGATGTCTTGGCCTGGGCGGTAGTTTGGTCGCAGACTTATGTTGACATAATCTTAGAAGCAAAGGATGTTTGAACATTTCTTGCTTAGGTTCAGTTAGGTTGTAACCATCTCATGCTTCTAGCATTCTACCACGATTCCGAATTCTCAAAATTGAGAATACCGTGCTCTAAATGTGTTAATACGCTTTATACGTGTGAGAAAGGAGTGAAATCTGTGAAGGAGCCTGACTTTGAATTTGAAAGGAGTGAAATTATTGCCTATTGCTCTTCGGTGAGTATTGTATTGGAAAATTTTTCAGGCATTTCTTGGGTAGTTTTCATTCTGTGGAAGTTAAGACTCAGATGGTCATCACACTCCAAAATGAATAAAACGGACTGATAATAATAGTGACTGCTTGCCTATATTCTGCGTAAGTATCATCTGATTCCTAATAAACAATGTAGAGTATATGTTGCTAGCTGCAAGAATTTCTTCCTTTCCTTAATTGTTTGTTGTGATGAAAATTCTAGAAATACATATGCACACCACCCTTCAAACGAGCAAAAATGTATGTAAAAAGAATAACGATGAGCATTGTGCGGCATTGTAGAACGTATGTGCGTCAGGAATTTTCCCCGGTTCGCTAGGGCGTGGAAACACATTCTCTCGACATTCACGACTTCCTGCCAGCGTGAAGATTCATGCGACGTGACGGAGCGTGCACGCACAACCAACAGACAGCTTCCGCGCGTCTCATCTTCGAGCACTCAGTCTGCTAGTCGTACGGAGAACTTGCTTCTCGTTTCCGGAGCTCGTAAGACTGTTCGTGCGAATCGACCTAAGACAGTTTTAGAGTTGATGTTTCTTTCGGTGGTGTCTCACCGTTGAGGCGGATGTTTTTTTTCTGGATTGGAGTCGATATTTTAAACTCACTTCTTGAAATAATTGTTAAATTCTTAGACATATAAGAATTATTAGATAATACTGCAAATAATGTTAATAAATTTGGGTAAATTTATACCAATTGGGTAACTTTGCATTTTTTTGTTTTTTAAGTAATTTTGCAACATCAAAATACAGTAATAGACGAATGTGAAACACAATTTCTATTACAGTAGTGTGGTTTCCAAGAATATTGCTCTCTGTGTAACAATAAAATAATTTTTGTTCTCGATCAGTTCGTAAAATTTACACTATGGAAGGACAAAAAGGCCGAGTTCTTAAGGTCGAATGTAAATTCGAAAATTCATCCCAGAGAGGTGCAATGCCGGTAATATCTCTGCTGTAGCTGGGGTTGAGATCATTCGGAAAAGTAATCATATCAATTAAAGAGAAATAAATAGTACGTTCTGTCTTGTTTAAGTCGGTTTTGAGACAATGGATTCTAGTAGGTGTAGTTACTTATAATTTATTATCAATTTGGAACACATTTACAAAATACAATGAGACTAAAAAACATTTAAAAAAATTTTTTAAGGAACGTCAGAAAAATATAAAGTTCAATATACTTGTTCTACTTCCAACATCAAGATCATAATGAATAATAGTGTTATTGGGGGAAAATAAATTTGTCCGTTGCTCCGCAACGGACAGGGTAGTGTTATTATGTAATGAGTCTCCTTTTGAAAAAATAAATGAATATTGAATATGGTTTACATGTGCTCTTTCTTTTATTATCTAAAACAATCGAAGTAAGGCACTCTGAATCTCATAAATGTGCTCTTGATTTTTAAATAGTTTTGATCCGACAAGATTTCTTCGAATCATAATAATTTTTCATTTTTCTTTCCTCAAGTGGTTTGCCTAAAACGCGAATTGACTTAATTACCTGTGAGTTCTTCCTAAACACAGTACTTCCCCCCAAAGTGCAGTTTATTTGAAATGAACCTTTGTAGAAGTGTTTTCCTAAATTGGTGAGTCATTCCTTAGAGGGAACGACCTAACCACTGTTGTCTTTGTAGGCGTAGGTGTGTTGACACCTCATCTCTTATTCTTTTTTACAAGCACATTCCCTTCAGCTCTGGGTGTATACGGTCTCTCACTTCTTCAGGAAAAGAAGATCGTATTGTATGAAGCATCCTACGTACGCATCACTTATACCTTCGTTGAACTAATCTTGACGTGGGACCTTTTGAGGCATTATGTATCTTATCTTTTGTTTTAAGCTTTCGTTCAAGACGTTACTCATCTTTGAAGGAAACTCCTTTGGTTTACTCAAATTTGCTTTTTGTGATCCTCGTTTTTTTCTCGTTAACATTACTTAGCTCTTCGTAGAGGCAGTGAATAGACGACGAGTTTTGTGATTTAACGAATTATGCGTCGACTAAAACCGATTACTGATGCAGAAAAATAGACCAGATGACACTAGGAAAAAATAATAATAATAATATGATTAATAATAGTAATAACTAATAATAATAATAATACTTTAATAATAATAGTTATTGTTTTTATTATTGGTTTTAGTTTTCCACATGAAACGGGCAAAATCTCTCTGAAGCTACTTCTTGTCAAGAAGTAATTTTAGTTGTTTGATATGAGATTAGTATGATGAGATAAATCATCGAATCGCATGCTCTTAAATGATTTTCGTATCTTTAGAATAGAAATCCTTTTCTATTAACTCATTAAAAATAGAACGTGTCATCAAACCGTCTCTCAGTAAAACAAATAACGCTATTGGTTGAATTTTTCGTGCAAACTTTTTAACAACTAATATCTTTTACAACGCAAATGTGTAGTCTTCATATATCACAATGTATACTCAGAAATCAATAAGATTGAATCTGATATCTTATGGAGGATAATTTATATCTGGCAGACCTCTTCAATGCCGAAATCACTGCATCGCGGCATATTCCCTTCACATACACTTCCTTCCTGAGGGCTTCTCCAGATCTGCGCAAATCTGCGCGCTCCCCTCACCCGCAGCCTCACAGCTGCGCGCGCCGCACCGCGCCGCCGGCCGGCTCGGAGCCTCGCAGTGGCCGTGCGCAGCGACGCAGCGGCGAGCGCGCGACTCAAGGTCCTTCATTCACGGCTCGGCGCCGGCCCGAAATAAAACACGTGCCCGCTGCCCGCAGCGGCGGCGGCCGTGGCGACCGTGACGGCGGTGGCGACGGTGACGGCGGTGGCAGCGGCGGCGGTGGAGGAGACATCAGTGGCGATGGAAGCGGCGTGGCAGTTTCATTAACACTGAGGAGACAGTAGGTCGAGGCGGAGGTGGGGGAGGCGTGGCCGATGGAGAGCTACTGGAATGTGGCGGTGCAACTATATCGGGCGGCGGAAGAAAAGGTGACAATGATTGTAAAGACGATGTGGTAGTCGCCGCTTTAACACGGGTGGGGATAAGCCTGGCGTGGTTGTTGGAACTGCAGTTTCAGTCACGCTGTCGTGATTGCGAAGTTGACAATGGCGAAGGTGATTATTTTCGGCTACGGACACTGAAGTGGCGGCTGTGTAGAATGTTGCGGTCTGGGAAATGCAGGAGACGGCGGGGACAATGGCGAAGGTAGGTTCCAAAGAGTGAGGTGTCACTGTTGCACTTGTTATTCGTGGTTATTTTATAAGATAGTAAAACCGAAGATGTGTAATGAAAGGCAGAAGGGATGTGGTCTGTTGTCAACACTTCTAATGTGCATTTGTTGAATGATGTTTCTTCCAGCATAAACGCATTTGTACCTCTCTCAGGTGCAATATATTCCTTGACTCTGCGAGTGAACAATATTTAAACTGTAAATTAAAGCATCTTGAAAAACCACACGAGAAACGTCTGTGGCGCGGATATACCACTCAACTTTCCTCTTGCACGATTCGAGTAGTATCTTTCATGATAAATACGATATAGCAGGTATATCGTTAATAGAAAGAAGTAGCTACTACAGCTCTGGACTGTTGTTTACCCACTAAGAAATCGCTTTACACTTGAGTCGTAACGGACATGTTGTTCAATCTTAGAGCATTGATACAATAATAAACATTTAATTACATAATAGAACAAAGATGAGTGGAATCCAACAAATATTTGCTACGTGATTTCAGGCCCATGGCGAACGGCACCGAATTGCTTAGCAGCCCTTATCGTTGGCGCGCCACTGGCGGCAAAGCGTCGACGTCTCCGCCTTAGCAATGGGCTCCGACGTCAGGCGAAACGCGCGTCATGCGGCCGTGTGGCGACGCCAAAGCGAGCAACGCGAGCGGGCGGGCGTGCGTGCCTGCCGGGCGACCCGTCCGC